TCTCTTTGATGTATATTTTTTAACAGGTACAAATTGCAAGCTACATAAATCATATAAAGGGGAAAACATTAACCCTGATGTCTCTACATAAGAGAACCAGTGAATTGCAACTTCCCAGTATGTATAATTCACTAGTTGCTGTCAACTGATACCCAGCGCATTCCAGAAGCATGTCTCTAACTAGGGTCTGCAGCAAATTAATATTGGAAACACATACTCATACTACTCATACAGAGTCTTTATATTAGAGGGAGGACAATCCTTTACGCATTGACGAGAAACATATTTGTTCATTAATATATTTAGAGGCTACAATGGAAGAAAGAACAATCAGAAATGAAACCATTTTGAGCTAAGTAATAAACTAAAATATTCCAAAACATGTGCAACTTCCCCTTTTGGTCTTCGCAAAGAAAAACAAAAAGGAGGGAAAAAGAGTCAAACAGTTTCAACCCATACTGCTAGACAAAGTGTATTAAGTAAATGATGCCATAGAGGTAAACTAACCACTTAGCAGGTGATCATACTAATGAATCTGTTGAAATTATTTTACATTCAGCAACATGTAAGTATGTAACGAACGTTAGATATGTCAAAACTGACGAAGAGTAATAATGCAGGTGACCAGGATGGACTCACTTTTCAAGGAAAAGAGAGCAATAAATAAATCAAAAATTTAAATTAGTAAATTCAGAACTTTTAAGGGAAATATAAGTTACTCACATGGTCCTCAAAATCAGGGCTTGTCAAATTGATGGAGAGATTTTTCATCAACAACAGTGCCTGGACAGTGTTAGGTAGGTCAGCGATCTATGCAAATAAATGAAGTAGCACGAAAGTAGCATGCTTAAACCTAATAGGTTAACCAGGCATCTCATATGAATAAATAACCATGTACTTTCAAATTTGGTGCATATATTTATGATGGTATGCAGTAAGTGAAACCTTAAGCAAACCAGTGCAAATTGAAGATACAGCATGAATCTCAGGGAAGATTTTAGTTTGGTTTAAATAACTTCTTACAGTTAGCATAGTACAACAAGAATTATGAAATATACAGACAACGCTTAAAGGAATCTGCTACAGACTGCAATTAAAGGTTGAGAAAGCTCCAAAGTATTTTCCGCTAGCAACCAATTTCGCATCAACCATCTACAAACTTGTATCAAATTGTTAACCAAGATAACTATGACCCAGAAGAGTCTGCAGCCAGTTTGCTTATGCACAGACTAATATTTCATGCAACCAAAAATAGAACTTTGGAATCCTCGCAGAATTTGAAAAAGTTCCTTCTTACTATTTACTAAAGGGGATGCATAATTTTCTATAAAAAAAAGGTTGAACGAATTTGTAAATTCTAGCACCATAACAGTTTATTAACTTGCTATAATACTCA